AAACGCTTTAAACAGAGCGGCACAAAGTTCTTATGCACATCCAGGGTGCAGTATGGTGCACTTGAAGCAACATAAGTCACAGTGTGCTGCACTCCACATGGTACAAACAAAGAGAAGAGAAATGAGAGAGCAATGAACTCCAGCAAGATGTCATTTTATGCGAATCCCCAGACCTTGATCTACACCAAGTATTATAATGGGAATATATAATCTTGAAGCGAGTTTTACCGTGCTGACTGTCATAACTGAATGTGACATGCTGTTTGATTGCTGAGCGGAGAACAACTGACAGCTGCAGCAGAAGGAAGATGAGTTTCTGTAAACTTAAATTTAACAATGTAAATATAATTCTGTCCCTCACATTAAGATATGGAATGGCTTCAGATGATATAGGCTTTACAGTGCATGAAAAGCAAACTGGTGCTCTTCTGTTTCTTTTGGTGTATGACTCCGCCTTGTGCCGTATAAAAAGCACAATAATCGCGGTTAGATCAAATAATTGCAGGTAGACGGTTATTTAATTATCGCGACAGGCCTAGTTCTCAGAAGCACTGCAGGTGCATGATAACTTGACGATGTCTGAAGCCAGGTTCTGTTGTTGCTCTGTTGTTCTGTATGCTGCTGTTTGCATGTCAAAATAAACCTGTGAATTTTTTTTGTGTATTTTTAATGGGTCACAGACACTCGTCCATTCTACTTTTATTTAATACTAATTTATTATTCTAATCTTATCAGTTAATGGTTAATGTTCTGATAAAGAGCAGCGGTTGTCGGTCAGGAAAATTAACCGAAATGAGCATCCCTAGTAGTATAGTATCCTCACTACAAAGTTTTGAAAAACAACAGTCTGACTAGAATGACATAACAAAACTACATCGCTCCCATTATGCTCATTCAAAATTCGAAATAATTTGTATTATATAATTATTCACGGTATTTAGAAGTGCCCACGATAACAATACCGTGCATATTCATTACCGTGATATATCGCATTACCGAATACCGGCACAAGTCTAATGCTCAACAAAGCTGTCTACACTGGAAGCATCTGAATCTGCGATGTGACACACGTGAACTCCCTGTGCATATTTTTGTGGGTTGCAGTGCTAGTGAATTTCTTCCCCTCGTCTGTCTAAAATAAATATCATTTGTTTGAATTGAGTGATCATATATTTGTGAACGGGATGCTGTGAGGTACATTTAATTTAAATTGTATAAATAATTGCAGCGGTCAAGTATTTTCTGTCTGTGTGGTATGTCTAGATTTTATTAGATTTTCCTTGTTGGTGAAATCACTAAATGAGCTGATGCGTGCCTTACACCCCAGAGCCCTGTTTTTTTAGTGGCTGATGTTTGTGTGGCGGTAGGGTGGAATTTTCCAGGCTTTTTGCGGTTGATCTCTGCCCCTCTCAGACTCTCTCACAAACACAAGTGCCACCATACAGTCAAAACATTCTCTCATGCTGTCGTCTAAAAACGCTAGTACTTCTCTGTTTCTCCTCTATCATTCCCCTCGTGCCTCCCTTCCTCCCTCTACAGGAAGTAAAATAGTGGCGTCTCCTCCAGGCTGTAATTACTGTCTGGTTCCAGTATTCAAAGTGAGCAATTTCCCCCACTGCATCAGGCCGCTGCTCTCTGCCATGTCCAATCAACATCAACATACATGCGCACAGAGAGCGGAGGAAAATCCACTCTCATCTGCATGGAGAGAGAGATCATACAGGTGCGCTCCTGTGGAAGAGAGGGAGTGATTGAAGTTCTGATGATAACTGATCATCCTGGCACGTTGTGTTGTTGCATATGTATGTTTGCTGCTGTTTTATCACCGTCTGATTTGTTTACAGTGTGCGTGATTGTGACGAGAGGGACAGTCAGTGCACATGTTCACCTAAGGCATTGTCACTTCTGGCTGTCTTATGATGATGATGACACATGATGTGGCGTGCGGCACTGCTGCTTCAGTGCACCGTTTTACACGTGTATCCTGTTCAGCATCTCATGAGAGCATTTGGAATGTGTGTTAAGAACTCCAGCGGTTCTGATCTACCTACACAGTCAGAGCTGTCGGATTACACTGTCATTTGTGTTGAAACAATAAGCCGTTAGAGAGAAATGGCATTGTTTTTCTATTTATCCAGGCAGGACATGCTGCCTTTTCCTTAGGTTTGACTAATCGGGAGTCAGTCTTTTGAGTTCCTTTCTGATGATCTTATTGCCCACTGCAAAGTCTTATGAGTAACGACTGCCATTAATTTATGGCGCTTTTCCACTGCATGGTACGACTCAGCTCGGCACGGCTCAGTACGGTTCGGCTCGGCACGGTTTGCGTTTCCACTGCAGTTCAGTACCGCTTTAGAGTGGGCGGGATTATTCACATGTCGTTATAGTTGCGCCGCCTCTACTACCACGACTCCTAAAAAAAAAATTTCATTCCGCTTCGCCCCATCAAGCTCTCGCTGGATTCGCTCCTCTGCTATCAACGAGAGGAACGTCTGTTCTTCCGCAACAGACAAAACTTTTTGGTCGTTCTAAACGGTTTCGTTCGATCCTTCGCTGGCTGTGCTGATTTAAATCTTCTGTTGTGTTTGTGTCACAAGTTCAGTGACGCAGGTAGTGTCGATTCTCTCCGGCCAATCTGTGATCAGCAGAGTTTACACGTCACGTTTTGGTAACGGTACGGTTCACTTGGAACCCCAACCGAGGTGGTACTAAAAAAGGTACCAGGTACTGTACCCAGTGGAAAACCCCCCAAAAGTGAACCGTACCGAACCGTACCGTGCCGTACCATGCAGTGGAAAAGCACCATAATTTAGACTGTTGAATCCTGTACAGAATGCAGGAGTCACTCCTGATGGTTGACGGAGTAACATAAGGCTTTTAACAAGACACATGGCAACAGTTTAAGCTGTTAGATAACCAAGCTAATAGTAGCGACTAGAAAAACAAATTGTCCAAAGTTTTGTTTGTTTGTTTTAAGCCCATTTATACCATGGTCTGTCTGAATATGCGATAGGTGTGCATTAAAACAGTTTAATGCACAGGTAGTTCCATGTTAGTTTAATCACCGTTCTATATTAATGCGCTACTTTCATTGACCCACACAAACACACACACACACACAAACACACATCACTTGCACACAGAGAGAGAGATCAGAGATCACGCTGCTCACACACAGAAGCATTCAGGAGCACAGAAACTTGTCAACGCTGCCCCGCGACATTTATTAAAGGGGTGGTTCACTGTTTTTTTTCTAGGCTTGATTGTGTTTATGGGGTGCAGTCAATTCAAAACTGAAAGTAAAATGTGCACGGCGCTTTTAAGCTATTTAAAAGCGAAGGAAAGCGAGGAAAAGAGGGAATGCCCCGCCCCCGCGGTGATACCGGTATTACCGGTGTTGTCACGCGTCGATTAACCGGTGGGAAAATTTCCTCACCGTCACAACCCTAGTCCCTACCAGCCGTTTTTGTAGGCATTAAACTGCCAGAATTTTAAAAGACGTTTGCATTGAACTTTCAGCTTCGTAACTTTGCAGATATTGTTTATGCTCAAACAGCAACATTACACACTAACTAACGTTAAAAAAGTGAAATCGCAATCAACCACCCCTTTAATAAAATGGCTTAGATATCGCTGGATCGCTGCATTCTATTCCTCAGCAATGAGGATTTAAAAACGCTGTTTAAGTAACTAAACTCACAGCTTCATTGTTTGTAGAGAGACACGCAGACAGGTAACTCACACACACAACTGTTCGTTCAGGACAGGATTAAGCACTTACAAGACAACTGACACTCTCTGTCTTTACCCTGAGTCAGAAGTGATCTGATAGAGAGTGAAAAAGAGTAGATTTTATTTTATTATTTTTATTTGGAGCAGTGCTGTCGGAGAGGCGCTGTAAAGCTGGGAGGATTACGGAGGTAAATAAAGTGTGCTTTCAGACAAAGCCCCGGAGCACAGCATCAGGGACAAGGCCCACGATAAGACCCCTCCCATTTCTTATTTACATTACACACAGCCGGCTTTTCCCCTTTCCGTGCCTCGGAGCACGATAAAAGAAAGAAAGAATTATGAAGGACATAAAAAATGAAGAGCAGGAAGGAGGAAAAGCAAGAAAGAGGCTTTGCAGCGCTGCTTACCATTCTGTTTGGTAAACATGAGCTTGATAATGTTTTTGAGCTCTCGTTTTTCTATCCGACTTCCTGATTCGCTGTAGCTTATAAACGGTTGCCAGAGCAGGAAGAGTGATTTGCCGCCTGGTCAGATGAGGTGTTTACTTCAGTTGTTGATTTATTTTTTCGAATTTAATTTAAAAAAGTGTCTTGACGTTTGCTTGTCAGAAGCTACACTGGAGCTAATTGAATTATTAGTGTGGGAGAGAGAAGGGTTTTTTGTGTGTTTATTGCTTGAAATGCACAATTACCATGCTCACAATGTCAGGCAGAGGATTCTGAGGATTTTATAGTGGAGCTAATTGAATTATCATCTTTTAGTTTTTTTGCAATGTCATTCCACTACGTACAGATTCTCTCCTGTGAACTTTCTGTGCTCCTCGATTTTATGTCACAGCTTAGACTATTCTACACTCTGTGTGTGCGTGTGTGTGCGTGTGTGTGTGTGTGTGGACAGGACTGCTGCAGAGCCAAAATATCCACTCAGCAAATGCAGCCTAACTGAATAAGAATTGTCACTGTTGTTCTCTTTTCACAAAAGGAGATAATATGCAGAATGACTGTCTCAGTCGCAATTTACTTTTATTGTATGGAACAGTTGCAGCTAAACTGATTGACTCCTTTTATGTTCCAATTAAAATGATATAGTTTTTGAACAGCAAGGTGACACATTTAGAATGAACTATTTGTTTAAATTTAAGTGTGACCCACTTCTTAGTGACTTTAGCAGCATTGTGTGTGTGTATACATATCCTGTTTTCTATAAAAGATGCTTTTCTGAATGCATTCTAATCTCTCTCTCTCTCTCTTTACGTTTTGTTTTTCCAGTATAATTTTGTAGGGAGAATTCTTGGCCCTCGTGGACTCACAGCAAAACAACTGGAGGCAGAGACTGGCTGCAAGATCATGGTGAGAGGGAGGAGCTCCATGAGAGACAGAAAGAAGGTGAGACGGGCAAATAAACATTTGATTATGAGATGGGATACTGACATGCGTTTACCAATATTAACAAAAATGTAAATCTGTAAAAAGTTAACTAACACCTAATTTATACAGGGTCCATGTATTGTGCCCTAATTCATACTTGAGCCATGTTTCAAACTGATTCCCAGAGCAGGACCATCACTGGTCGAATTCTTCTGTGCTGCATGTTGTCCTGATCTGCACAGTCCATATGGGCAGTGCTGATGATTTGTCCATGCTGTGGTGTTCAGTTTGGTTGTGGCATTTCAGATTTGATTTTCATGAAAAATGGCAGCACATAATAAAAAAACGTGGGGCACCAGCTTATTCACAATTTGGAGCTTTCTCAACCCCCTCTTCCTCCTCCACAGACAGTGTTCTGCTGACGTTTGCCATTTGGAGCCAGTTTGTCCCTAATGAGCCAATTCACTCATTTGTTTTGTCTTAATGTCTTTCTTTTCCTATCTCCTGCACACTCACGGTTAGCTCGCAGGGCTCCGGCTGAGGCCCAGTTCTATTTCAGGCCTGGTTGTGGTGGTGTGGGTGTCAGAGAGAACAAAAGCACATGGTAGACATACTAGAAAGTAGGACCCAGATCTTTCTTTACATTCTCAGAAGAGACCCACTGTGTGATCAGCAGAGGAAAAGCTAAACCCTGAATGATGGAAAATTATGGCTTCAGGTGGGAGTTATATAGCACAGAGACATAACAGTACTGCCCTATCAGCTCTAGCAGAGACTTTCTCGAGGGTTGAGAGAAATGACATTTGTACGTGTAACTGCTAAGCACTACATGCTGAAAAATCAGAAGAAATGGCTGATTCCATAGTAAGCAACTGTGCTGATTTCATTCTAAAGACCTTTTTGCCAGGAATCAGCATTATTTGTCCAGTATAGTCTTTCTCTCTCTTCGTATCTCTGTCAGTGTCCCAGTGGAACAGTTTTATCAGGAAATCCCCATCACTGTGCATTAGCATTACCACACACTCACACAAACACACACACACCTGGGCCCCAGCTGTGCTCCCCTCTTGAGAAGCCATATGTGTGACCTCAAGGGCTTGATGCAGAAATTGATTAAACTAGAAGTTCTCTCTCGTCTCTCTTCCTTTATATAGCATTTCTGTATTGGTTATGTCTTCTATTTCCCTGCTGAATGTAAAACACACACTCTTGTCTCAATGACTAATCTAAAGCTTACTAGATTACTCCCCCACACAGAATGAGTTTTCCTGCTTCCTAACAGAGTTTCTCTGAATAGTCTCCTGACTGATTCTGTCATACTCCCTTTCCACTGAAATGTTGCTTTTACTTGGGTGGGGTACCTGTTAATCTCTTGCATTTCCGCAGATTTTCAGTGGAGCCAAAAGCTGACAGAACTGACTGTTATTACATTAGAGAGCACATAATGTTCCATTAATGTTACTGTTCACAATCCAGCATTGTGCATCATATTCTTTTTTTTTTTTTTTACTCCTAGTTCATATTCGTAATAAAAAAAAAAAACATTTTAAAGTGGGTATGAAATTAAAATTTACCATATATTTTTTTTTAAATGTATGTTATTGATCTTATTGTGAATGATTCTTCCATGCATGTTTCACTTCTAATTTGCTTTAATATCATAATTGTTAATCAAAATATCTTCATATGTTGGACTTCACTAATCATTTAGTCTGCCTAAACCCGGCCCTTTCACAGTTGACCGCAAGTTTGCAGATCTGCCTCCATCCGATCTACAATCAATTAATAGAACCAAGTGCCCATCTTACATTTTCTCTTTTTCATTAATTCGTTTTACTTGGATGCACATCATAATACAGAAGAAAAAATCTGTCACTGCTTCCTTTTCATTACGTCTTTAACATCCAGAGTAATTTAATTCAGCTACCTTATGCACTATTAGAGGCCAGAAAGTTAGAACATACTTTGTTGTTGTTGCTATATAGTGTTTTTTTTATTTTTTTTTATTTATTTTTAAGAATAAACACAATGACTGTAAAGAGACACTTTTAACAGACTCTCTGGTCTTCAGGTCTGGGCTGATGAGTTGTTTATTTATCTTCCATTAGCCAAGCCGTTTTTGTGCTCTCAATAATTTAGTTTACTGCTGCCTCTGGGGACTGAAAGAGCGATGGAGACGTAGAAAAATAGAGTAAAGAAAAAGGAGTGACTTTAATTCACAAAAGAGGTGGAGTGGGAGTCGTTCTCATCACACAGGGTTTAGTTTTAGGTCATTTGTGGGGATGCGACAGGGTTCGATGAGTTGTTTTAGTGGTGTATTTAATGTTTTCTCTGAAAGGTAAAGGCATGGATCACCTGAAGTCTCAGGGGAAAATGCTTCGTTAGCCTTAAGACAGGCATTTTACTTAACAGCTTCCCAAAGGTGGTTTAACCCCATTTGCCCTCTCGAGCTGTGTATATACCAGTTCACACAGCCTCAAGAGACACTACATCCTCATGCTTGTTGTGTGTGTGTACTGAAGCCGAGCTCAGGCCGATGTAATGGGAGAGGACAGGACAGACAAACTCTGGATAATAACCTGTCTCACTGTGTAGCCTCATCCTCTGATCAAACACTGTTCAAATTGAGGGCTCTCCGAAACCACAGCACAGATCAAATGTAACAGACGGCCACCCTCACCGGAGCATCACAGAACCTCTCCAGAGCCACACAGTAGGCTATCTGAAGCTTTCTTCCTCCTCTGTCCCTCCTTTCATTTTATTTTCTAGTCTTTGTTCTTGGTTAAATTGAGTTCTCTTTCTTTCTTTTTCTTAACACCTGTATCACACCACACATTTATAACAGAAAATAAGTTCCTTTAAGTCACTTTGTAACAGAAGCAACAGATCTTTTCTTCCATATTGTGATATACATCCAAGGGAAAAAAAGAAGAAAAAATTATAGGGTGGGGTAGGCCTGGGCGATAAAATGGTATCGATATTTATTGACGGTACACCTTCTTCGATAACGATATAAAAAATGTTCGATATAGGCACGTGCTATGAGTGACGCAGACAGCACACACAAACGCGAACACATGCTGAATTGAGTGCTGTGCCTGCCTGTGATGAGGAGATTGTGAATAAAAAAATTACAAACACGAACACATGCTGAATTGAGTGCTGTGCCTGCCTGTGATGAGGAGATTGTGAATAAAAAAATTCATATTAGTCGAATTTAAAATAAACATTTGCATTTGAATGTTAGGAGTGGGTCAGGGAGCGTCATCAGTGGCGCATAAGATGCGGTGATAATGATGTAAGTGGATGCAAAGTTAAAACAGTTTAAACTTAAACTTCGAAAACACATCGCGAATTTGTGGAGGTTTATTCCTTTTCACTGCGTCTCTTATGTTTTTGAATGCAATCTGCGTGATGGGCGAGTTCGGCTCTTTGTATTAAGCAGTGCTTAAATACATGATGCGGTTTTGTTCATAACTGTTTATGCAATTTACGAAATTATATTTGATTTATATGAGTTAATTTAGACGTAATGCATGTTTTTTTTTTATAGACCGCTATTTCCATGCGTTGGCATTATGTGCTGCATTATGTTGCTCATTGCGCCCTCCTGTGGCCTCGGGAGACGAGACAATAGTTTCCTTAAAACCTATTTAATCTGCATATAAAACATTACAAATTAGATATTTGTTTAATATGTATTGTGTGTTTGACTGTTAAAACAAAAAAATATTTGTTGTTTGTCTCAATAAATTGGGTTAATTTAAAAATACAGTGGTTAAAAAAATAAAAAATTCTATTGCTCTGTTTTAAAAAAGGTTATAAAAATGTCAATAATTATCGATACCGAACGATATGAAACATTATATCGTTGATAATGTTTTTAGCTATATCGCCCAGCCCTAGGGTGGGGTCCCGTCTCAGTTGTTGATTGGATGGTGGCAGAATTTTTGAGGACCAAATGATTGAACAAATCTGGCATACGTCACTAGAGAGAAGTCTCAATGGAAAATTGTGTTATATTTTGATTTAAATTTAGAGGTCAACACAAATTTTAAAAAATAAGAAACATGGATTGGCGATTTTTTTTGCAATAAGATACATTTAGAAAATGTGTTTTTTTTTTTTTGTTTGTTTTTTTTTTTATTAATTTGAGTGTTCTAACATTTGAAGCATTGACATTCATTCATTAAAATAAAATAAATAAATAGTTGACACTTGTGAAACTATAACTAACTTTTCCAGCAGCTATATCAGTAAACATTTATTTTTCATTTTTGTTGTTTTTTTAACAACTAAAACTAGTACAAGATATTCCTAAGAAATAGTGTGGAAAAAAACACTAAAAGAAATGAAAAGTTTTTTTTTTTTCTTCTTAGGAATATCTTGTACTAGATTAGTAGTTTTGCGCAGAGCATGTACCAAGAATATGAATGTGAACAACGTTAGAATCATCTTCATTTTCATTCAAAAGAGCCACCTCAAACCACCCATGTTGGTAGTTTTGAGTTTTTTTTCCCCCAGTCAATTTTCCACTCCTGTTAAACAGGTGCCTGTAAACTACTCCACCCGGGACAGCTGTTCAAGACTGTAGCTTGAGTTCAGTCTGCTCTGGTTGATATGAACAGTATTTATAGGGTGGTGGGATTATTTCCAGCCAGGCCGTCTGTCTTTCAGTCAATCAAATCATTGCCTTTGCATGGTGAAAACTTTGCATGGTTTATTTTGCTCTTTTGCTTTTGGTGCACATACAGTCAAGAATGACAGTTCGGTCCATATACACATTCCACAAACCCTCTCACATTTGTTGGTGAGCTGCTTTTGGCTTCATTCTTGTACTTTTATGGGTCTGTCATCACGTGTCTCCCATCACATGCATGTCGCCTCACCGCTGGTTTCTTATGTCGGTAAACAGAATCTTTGCCCTCTTCAGAGGCTTTCGGGTTGTTCTTCCTGCCTGGCTCTACCCGCCCCTCACCCACCCTCAGAGGACATAGAATGACCTTGCCCCTTGATGG